ATTCTCTTAATGATTAGTGATGTTGAGCATCTTTTCATATTTCTATAGGTCACCTGTATGACCTCTTTTGAGAAATGTTTATTCAGGTCCTCTGCCCATTTTTTAATTGAATTGTTTGTATTTTCTGGCATTAAGTTGTATGAATTTTTTTTATATATTTTGGATATTAATCCCTTATCAGAGGTATCATTAGTGAATTTCTTCCATTCAGTAGGTTGTATTTTTTTTTTATGGTTTCTTTTGCTGTGCAAAACTTTTTAGTTTGATGTAGTTTCATTTGTTTATTTTTTTCTTTTGTTTTTCTTGTGTGAGGAGACATATCCAAAAAAATATTACTAAAAGAGATGTCAAAGAGATTACTGCCTATGTTCTCTTCTAGAAGTTTTATGGTTTGAGATCTTAACATATAAGTCTTTAATCTATTTGTTTGTTCTTGTACATGGTGCAAGAAAATGATCCAGTTTCATTCTTTTGCATGTGTCTGTCTAGTTTTCCCAACACTGTTGTCTATTGAATAGACAGTCTTTACCCCATTGGATGTTCTTGTTTCCTTTGTCAGAGATTAACTTACTATACAGGTATGGGTTTTTTCTGCATTCTTTATTCTGTTCCATAGATCTGTGTCAGTTTTTATGCCAATACCATACTGGTTTGATTACTACAGCCTTGTAGCATGCTTTGATATCAGTTGGCGTGATGCCTCCAACTTTACTCTTCTTTTTCAAGATTACTCTTGCTATTTGGGGTCTTCTGTGGTTCCACGTAAGTTTTAGGATTATTTGTTCTAGTTCTGTGAAAAATACCATTGGTATTTCAATAGGCATTGCATTGAATATATGGATTGCTTTAGGTAGTATTTTAACAATGTAACATTTTAACAATGTTAATTCTTTATATCCATGAGTATGGTATATGCTTCCATTTCTTTGTTTCTTCCTCAATTTTTAAAAATGTTTTATAATTTTTCTGAGTATACGTGTTTCACCTCCTTTGTTAAATTTGTTCCTGAGTATTTATTTTTTGATGCAATTGCAAATGGCATTATTTTCTTAATTTCTTTTTTTGATAGTTTTTGTGGTCTATAAAAATGCAACCAATTTGTGAATATTAATTTTGTATCTTGCTATGTTACCAAATTTATTTATTAGTTCTAAATAGTTCATTCATTCATTTATTTATTTATTAATTAATTCTTTAAGGTTTTCTCTATATAGCATCCCCACAATTCCATTTCTGGGTTTATATCTAAAGTAATTGAATTCTAAATCTCAAGAGGTTTGGGAATCTACATTCCCTTGTTTATTGTAGCATTATTGACAATAGCCAGGCCATGGAAACAACCTAAATGTTCATCCATGTACAAACAGATAAAGAAAATGTGGTATACTGAGTGGGGCAAAAGTAGGTTTACAGTTGTGAGTATGTAAGACACAGAGTTTATTCTTTATTATTATTATATTTTATTTTTCATGGAACTGTAGACCTACTTTTTGTTCCAACCTATATACATACAATGTAACATCATCCAGCCTTAGAAAAGAAGGAAATTCTGCTACTTACGACAACATAGATGGACCTTGAGCGCATTATGCTACATGACAAGAGCCAGGCACACAACAAATAGTGCATGATCTCACTTGTACGTGACATCTAAATTACAGTAGTCCCCCCACTTATCCATGGTTTTGCTTTCCGAGGTGCAGTTACCCGCAGTCAACTGTGGTCCAAAAAGTTTAAGTGAAAAATTGCAGAAACCAACAAATCATAAGTTTTAACTTGCGTGCCGCTCTGAGTAGCATGATGAGATCTCATGCTGACCCGCTCCGGGTGTGAATCATTGCCCCACTTACGTGCTCCCCGCCCGTTAGTCACTTAGGAATAATCCCAGTTATGAGATCGACGGTCACAGTATCGCGGTGCTTGTGTGCAAGGCACCCCGATTTTACTTACCACCCCCAAAGCCATTCACGTAACTTTTATTACAGCATACTGTTATAATTGTCTTACTTTATTATTAGTTGCTGTAATTTATAAATGAAACTTCATCGGACGTAGGTGTGTATAGGAAAAAAGCTTAGGCTCTACAGGGTTTGGTACTATCCATGGTTTCCGGCGTCCGCTGCTGGACTTGGAACTTACCTGCCACGGATAAGGAGGGACCGCTGAAGTCAAACTCTCACAGAAGCAGAGAGTGCAGTCGCGGCTGCCGAGGGCTGGGGCAATGGGGGAGGTGTTGGTTAAAGTGTAGGAAGTTTTGGTCAATAAGTTCTGGAGATCAACTGTTTAAAAAGAAGAAAAAAGCCCTGTGTCACAGCGGCTTCCCAGAGATTGAAGCAGCATCCAGCAGGGTGTAGGTCTGAGCTTTGGTTTTGACTGTCTGGATGAGAACCACTTTTATTTTCACTTACTTCATAGGAGCAGGGGCTTGAAAATGAGACAAAATTAATTTTACTGTTCACGTGCTGTGAGCAAGTTATTTAACCTTTCTAACATCTCATTACTGTGAAAACTCAATAAGGTAAAAAAAAGTTCTCAGCACAATCAATGTTAATTAGAAAAATTTGTTGTAAAATGATGTCGCTTAGATCAGAGTATTTTCAAGGCAACTGAAATCTGACTAGCAAATCAGCAACAGTGGCCGTACAGCCGGCCTTGGTAGGCTCTCACCGGGAGTGTATAGAACTATATGGGACATTATTGGAGGTCAGGAAGGGACATATAGATACATTATGCATGTTCAGACTCATTAGCCCTTAGAAAAAGATGGCTTTAAAACATGAGGATACGCAGCAGTACCCTCAGCACCGGCATTGTCTGTGCGTTCCTTTCCTCTGTGTGATGAGGTGCTGTGGCTGGCAGTGCTGAGGGACACGTGAGCTATCCTTCCACCCTGACCCTCTAAATGAGCCTCTCCTGCTGCGGCTGCGGAACGCCCGTACAGTGCTCGGTGGCCCGACCAGCCTGTTTTGCGACTCCATTTACAGCTGTGCTTCAGGATATGCTACCATGGCTCAGCCACCTGCATGTGACCCCATGGTCAGCATTTTCCCAGTGAATCATTGTGACTCTGTAATGTTTGTCTTATATGTCCTCTGTTTCAGTTTGCAGTATCAGTAGTATGTACGAGGCCACTTGGCCAACATTTGGGTACAGTGACGCTTAGGCTCCATGGTCCGAATGGCCAGTCACCCCGTAGTCAGGATTCCCGGAAACAAAGTTTATCTCACATTTGACTGTCTAATGCTTTGACATCAGGAGTTAAGAACCAATACTGTGAATGACTACCATTATGTCAGGTGCTGTTAAATCTGCTGCTAATTTTTTTTTCAATCAATGATTATGTTTCAATGAAGTAAAAGCCTTGAAAAGAAAAATCCTACTGCTGCTGCGTGATGATCTGGCTGGCATTTGGGACAGTTGACCTGAAACAGAATACGGGTAGCTGGCACGGGTCCTCCCATGGCCACAGCACGGACGCCAGCACAGGGCAGCGGGGCTGGGAACGAAGCCGTCAGCCTTGCAGAAGCGCTCTCTCCAGCGGCAGGGCTGGAGGCAGAAGCCAACAGGGATGTAGTTAAGTGGCTGCCATCCCACAGTGCCCTGCAATGGGGCTCGCATGAGATAAGGAGACTCAGGAAGCTTCTCCCCATGTTCCTTGAATTTTCCCTCTGGAGCCACTGCTACCTCTTACCCTGACTTTTGCTCTGAACATAACTCCTAAGATTTTCCTGGGTGTGTCCAGAGCCTCAGGATGTGGCAGAGTTTTGCTATGTCTCCCATGTTAAAGGCTTCCACTTACTTTCTCTCCAGGAAGCTGGCCTCTATGACATCAGGTTTAGGGTGGCTTTTGAACCAGTGTTTCTCCCTTTATGGTCCGTACACTGGTCCTCAAACTTGGGCGTACATCCGAATCGCCTTGTTGCGCCAGGATTGCTGGACCCAGCCCCAGAGTTTGATGTGGTAGGCCCAGGCTGGGCCTATCAAGTTCTCAGGATAGGGGAATAACACTAGTCCTGGGACCACCTTTTAAGAATTGCTGGTCTTGCAGAAAGAGGAAAGAAAAGTATCTTCTGACAGTCTGACATATTGTGCTGCGTGTCAAGTCCTGTGAGAGCTAGCTGCTCTCTAATCACAAAAGAATTCCAGTTTACTCACCCTATGCTTTCTTTCCTACCGATGTGTGCAGTCAGTCGGCAGACACTGGTCTGCTCTCCAGTTGTTATATAACAGGCTCTTGTCTCCTTTATGTTTTAGTTAGACTGACTTTTATAGACCCTAATTCTTAAAACAAGAGCGTCAATGCTCATACACTTTTCTGTGGACCGTCCCACCTTCAGCGACACTATCCACGTGTATACATGAAAGTTCTGAGGCAGCTTTTACTGTTATTTTAGCACCCGTACATTATTTCTTTTTCTCACTAATGAACCATTTCAAAAGTAAATTACGCAGTAGTCCTGGGGTATTGACAAGATTACAATAGTCACAAATTTTATACGTAATCTTTTTCAGTTTTAAGATTTAAAGTGATGTAAGGTTCAATCAGAATATTATTCTACTAAAAAGTACACCCTAAACAAGTGCTCATGGTCAAGTGCATTTAGAAAAAGATGGCGCCCCTCCAAGGATCGTGCAGCAACTTAAATGAGCATCTGAAAGGATCAACTTTAACACTGATTTAGATCCTCCTGTCCCAAGTCCTGCTGGTTGCCTGGTCCCTTGTAATGGGACCATTTATAGCAAAACAATTTGTATCAGGAGACTGATAATGATACAAAAGCAAAACTTCCCAATGAGTAGAATACTTTATTTCAATTAAATTGTTCCTATGTCTTATTTTTCTTTCCACTTCCCCCCTGCCCCCACCCCTCGCCGTGGGATTCAGGGAGAAAATTTAGGTTAAGCTGGAGTCAATGAAAGGACTGGCCCGGTCGCGAGAAGGCTGGAAAAGGGTGGCGACAGTGACTGGGAGAAAAATGCTGCTGGCACGTTACCTGTAGCACAATTCAAGTTTATTCCATTTGTTCTTGCAACACAAAACTTAAACACAGTATTATTTAGCATTCTGATGTACATGAACTAGAATAATGAGAAACCCAATTGTGTCAAAAGTATTACATTGTGGAAAAAATGAACTCAAATATATCAAAATGCACAAAGCACTAGTCTTCCTCCATTACTGCTTAGAAAGATATGATTGTTTCTCCATTTACAAAATAGAATCAGGACCATTTAAATTTTTAAAATTTTGCATGCAAAACACTGCAATTGCTTATGTAGGAGGGCACTCTCACCAGCTTCTATACACAATCGAGTATACGATATTGCATGAAAGAAAACAGCAGCTCCGTGGAAGTTTTAAGGAAAAAAAATCAAATAGGTACATACAGATTTGAACTCCATTATTTGGGAGAAAGAAATCAATGAACAAAGGGGCTACTTGCTTGCAGCTTCCACACGCTGACCCACCTCTCCCCCCTCCGTGCCCCGCTGGGTTTGGACCGTGAGCCGCGGGTAGAAGGCCTACTTGGCCACACTCTGGTGCCGTGTTTAAACTCCAAGTCTATAGATACCAGTCTGAAGCTGCAAGGGGGAATTTGTTAGTATACTAATCGTGTAGTAAACGCTCAGGTGTTTTTATACACCTGTTTTTAATTGCTATAGTGCATATGAAATGACCGACTTGATACAAAACTACAGAACATGCAAGGCTTTTGCTGAGATGTTAAATATTACTTCAGTGGAGAGAAAAAAAACCCAAAAACTTAACCTTTCACTAATGCATGTAGTACCAAAAAGCAGACATGGTTTTAACTTCCTGTACTCAAAATATGAACATTAAGTGTTGTGAATTCTTCTGCCAAGTGGTTCAGAAATAACATTATAAATAACCTAGCTTAAAAAAAATTGTAAACCATCTTGGTCAGTCTATTCTATGTTTATATGCTATTTTCTCAAGCAACCTCTTCATAATTATGGGGTTTACAAAATGGCTGAGAAAGAAGAAGGCGAAGCAGCCTCTACTGCATCACAGGGAACATCAGGGGAAACTGTACAAACGTTAGGAGGCTCTGTACTGGGGGACTGGAAAGCAGACCAGGGTTAGGAATGACAGGACAGCGCACTCTCTGCAACAGCCAACTGCAACAGAACACTCAGGATGTAAAGGTAAGAACTGTGTGGAGGCAAAACCCAAGCCTTTTAGATCACAATATGCCAAGAGGTGAAAACAAAGATATCAAAACACCCTGTCACTACGCTGACAGTTAAGGACTGAGAGAGTGCCCTCCATCTTCAACGAGGCTGGCTCCAGGTTTCCGTTCAGCGATGCAATCAAGCACTGGTTACTGACTTTAGTCTGACTGATAGGCCGCAGTAAGGCAGCAGAATTAGCCAAATGTATCAAAGAATTTAAGCCACCATTTTGTGATTGTTTTCTTGGATGCAGAAAAATTACAGGGTTAGGCTAGTTGTAAGTGAAAAAGCCACAGGATAAAAAAAGGGTTCACGGGGAAACACACACACGCGCGCGCGCACACACGCACATTCACACACGCACATTCTCACACACCCAGCCAACCAATCAGCAACTGATCTATAAGATTTGTTATCAGCCAGGATGACTGTTTTTGATAGTTTAACTCTGCTGTCGAATGCTACATTGCCTTAAAAAAATCATCCATAATTCTTTATTATCCATAATCTGAAACAAGTCCCGAACCCACCCTCCCCTTGTTTTAAAAATTTGAGGTACATTCAATTATTGCATGACATGGCTAAGGAAAAGTCCTAATATTTTTAGTCAGCTTATATGGGTGCCAAAGGAATCTTAGTATTTTAAATGCAAAACTGCAAAATTTAAGGGTTTTAATTAGTCATATGGTTCATGAAATAAACATTTGAAAATGTGTCTAAATATTTTCTGCAGGTCCTAAGAACTGCTTCAAGCAGGTATTTAAGGACACAGAAGGTGTCACACTTTATGCAGTACAGGATTCAGAAAAGAAACAGAAGTATACTATGCAGGTGGGTTGGTGAATGTTCAGCAGAAGTTTATCGACAACTCGGGGAAACCTGGTCACAAGCATGTGTTTGAAGAGATGGGGTCAAATGTGTCCCAACAGTCAGTCTCAGCCCAGTGAGAGCGTTGGTGCGGAAAGTAATCAGCATCCGAGAGGGTCTGAGAGGCACCCGGAGCCCCTCTGTTCTCCACACATAACCGAGGCCGATCCACTCCAACAGCAAGTGCAGAAAGCAAGCTCACAGGTACTCAGACAGCTGTTCTCTCTATGATACTAACAGGCGTATGGCTATGATTCTACTTTTACATCCCCTTGTACGACCAGCACGAGTTTAAAAGTGTTTCAATGTTACATAAATGTGTGAATCTAGAGGAGGAAAAAAGAGGCGTACTGGAATGGTTTCTCCTAGAGACTTCCAAAACTTAAGATTTTATAAATAAAACTAGTCAGTTTTACCTATAGATACATGAAATCCATGTGAAAGGGGAGAGGAAATCCAAAGTTCCGTCATCTAGCAATTTAGGAGTGTGCCCCTCCTGACCTGGACCGAGCTTTCGCGTGAAGCCGAAAGTCACCGAGGGAAGATTTGGTCACCAACCACAGGCAGCGCTCTTAACTACACCAGGGGAGTCCCGAAGAGTGCACCTTAAGGCAGAAGGCTAGAGCTAATTGCTTATCTCAGCACCCTAGGTTTACATCGCAGCAGCCGCTACTGCTCGCAGTTAGGGCTACCAAATATGGATAGTTGGCCTTTGTATAGTCAGACCCTTGACACAATCTAATAAATTAGCTAGGGGGCTGAGAAGGTCCAATGTTACGGTGTATTTTGTCTTTACTCTCCCTTGGGTATATGCTGTATATATATATATATTTTTTTTTTTGGAAATGGAGAAGAGGATGACTTGATCAGGAGTCCTAGTAAAAGCCTGATCGTGACTTTTTCCTCTCCTCCAAAATATTGTTTTTCCTGGTAGTCTGATTTGTTATGAATTCCTCCCCCCCACCCCCCAATCCCTCTTAAAGTATTTAGCTGAAGAAGCTGGCAGATAGAGAGTGACAGACAGACAGGCAGCAGTGTGAGGCCACAGGAGAGTCATTCTTCCGGAGCTGTCAGCCCATCCGCCCATCACTGAAGCAGAGCTTTGATTGCCTGGTTGTCAGTGGCTTCAAAGGCAGTTAGTCCATCTGGACCTTTCACAGTCTTATCAGCACCCTGGAAAAGAGCAGAAAAAGCCTTGATCAGGAAATGAGCCCACAGCTGAGAAAAGGGGACGAAAGACGAGAGTACTCGGCATATGCTAGTGTTTACACCTAGAATTAAAAACTCTCTTAGTTAAACAGAGTTTATTCTATTAAGGAAAAAACCCCCAAACACTTGGCAAGGTTACAGATGAAGTAATAAAAATGTTAGATTATTGCCCCAGCTGGCGTGGCTCAGTGGATTGAGTGCCGGCCTGCAAACCAAAGGCTACCAGTCTGATTCCCAGTCAGGGCGCATGCCTGGCTGTGGGCCAGGTCACCAGTTGGGGGCATGTGAGAGGCAGTCATGCATTGATGTTTCTCTCCCTTTCTCCCTCCTCCTCTCTCTAAAAATAAATAAAATCTTTAAAGTCCACGGGCATAAGAATCTTGTCTGTATTCCTCACCACCGTGTCCCCCAGTGGCAGGTGACTGTGCTCCCTGAAACCTCTTTAACTCCCAGAAACAGCCGTGGCGCACTGAGGTTCTCTCTGCTTGCTCCAGCCCAGCCAGGATTTAGTCCCGTCTCCAGTGTCCTATCCCCTGCCCCTTGCCGAATCTCACTATCTGTTCCTAAGGCCTACAGAGCTGTCTAAACTTGGCCTAGGTAGCCCTTCCGAGGCCAGCTGCGTCAGACTCACCGGTCTCTCCTCCCACTCATCCTTCTGTGCTCTAGTCCTGTGGAGCTTCTCACCATTCCTGAGCATACCACGTGCCAAGCCTTTACACATGCTGGGTCCTGAATGGAATGCCTTCCCTCCTTTCTCTGGCAAATCCATTCAATCATTCAACAAACATTCACTGAGTGTTGATGTGTAGACACTGTGTAAAGGGCTGGAGAATCAAAGAAAAACAAGACAGTCTGCCAGCCTGCCTGGTGTGGGAGACAGACAGATAAACCAATACGAAGAGCAGCAGTAGAATGGCATGTGACACGAGTGTGTGAGAAAGTCTTTCTGGATGAGGTAATGCCTGAGCTCAGCCTTGATGAGTAAGTACAAGATGATTACGTAAACCAGGAAGGAGGAGATGACAAGATTCTAGGAAGTATGAAACATCACAAAGACCTCTTCAATGTGACTGTACATCTCTATTTCCTTATTTTCTAATTTAATTTCACTGCTTTATGGAACAGAGGGAACCCACAGTTAAGTAGGAGAGAAATCTGAGAGAATTCCAATGTGGTAAATCCTCCCACATAGGTTAAATGACAATAACTGGGATCCCTGCAGTCAAAACAAATTACTCATTTGCATAGTTTGTTATGACTAAGCATTGTAAACTCTAATTCTGCATTAATGCAAGTTAAATATTTTAATGAACATCTGCTGCTTTTTTAGTTTCCAGGGTTCATTTCCCTTCTTTTCATAACTGCACCCCAATTCCATTTTGGGCAGTCATGTAGCCCGTGGTGTGGAGCCCTGGGACTGTGACTCAAGGTGTTATGTGCTTTCCTCGCCAAGTGTCAAAGACTGATTTGATTCAAGTCGGACTCTGGCTTCTGGATTCCGAATACTGATTGGAGAGATCAGAGCGAGAACAAGAAGCTGGAGCTCATTTACTTATTTTTGTGACATCACCGTGATGAGACAGTGGAGAAGTCGCCCCTCTCTGGAGGCCAACAGCTGCCATGCATGCCTCTGGCCTCTTCTGAGTCGGATCCTCCAGCTTTCCTGTTGGTTCCATGACTGGCCCAATATCTTTAAAAGTCTTTCTACTTGTTAGAGTCAATTTCTATTATCTGCAACCCCAAATCTAGCTTATGTTTTTAAAATTTATATAATTTTTCTAATAATACAAAATCACAGAACTCAGAATACACAGAAAAACAAAACTCTTAATTCAGTAAGTCAGATACAGCTGTTAACACTTTAGTGTTCCTAATATTTTGTTCTAAATATGTATTATATGTATTTTAAATGAATAACCATAGTTCTTTTATGACTCTACCTACGCCCCCCCCTTGAATGGAACTGCTATCTGGTTCCTTTTAGACAGCACAGATGATTGTTGTTCAGGGCTCTTTTACTTTATTTTTTAAATTTTGTTTGAATTTATCACGAGCAGGTTAAATTGTGCTTTTTTGAATAGAATCTTAATACACTGACAGGGTTTAATAATGCTATTAGCAAAATAGAGAATGTTTAGGTGTTTAAAAAAAATAATGAAAGGAAACTTCTTTATCCATTCACCTCGAACACTAAAGCTGCTTCCATATCTTGGCTATTGTAAATAGCACTGCAGTGAACACAGGAGTGCTCATATCTTTTCAAATTATTATTTTTTAAGTTTTATTTTTCCATTACAGTTTACATTCAATAATTATATTACTTTCAGGTGTATAGCATAGTGGATAATCCTAGATTTTACAAAGCAACCCCCCCCCCATATTTTGGTTACCCCCTAGCACCAGGCTGTTATTGCAATACTATTGATTATATTCCCTATGCTGTACTTTACATCCCCATTACTATTCTATAGCTACCAATTTGTACTTAATCCCTTTACCTTTTCCAACCAGTCCTCCAGCCCCCTCCCCTCTAGCAACCATAAGTTTGTTCTCTGTATCTGTTTCTGAATTGTTTGTTCATTTGTTCCTTAGATTCCATATGTAAGTGAAATCATATGGTATTTGTCTTTCTATATCTCACTTATTTTGCTAACCACAATACCCTGCAGGTCCATCCATGCTGTCACGAAAGGTAAAATTTCATTCTTTTTTATGGGCAAGTGACATTACATTGTATATACCTATCTCCACTTTTTTATCCACTCATCTCTTGAAAGGCACTTGGGTTGCTTCCCCATCTTGACTGTTGTATATAACACTGCAGTGAATACAGAGGTACATATATACTTTCAGGTTAGCATTTTGGGTTTCTTGAGATACATACACAAAAGTGGAATTGCTGGGTCATAAGACAGTTTATTTGCTATAGTGGCTGCACAAATCTGCATTCCCACCAACAGTGCAAGAGGGTTCCCTTTTTCCCACATCCTCATCAACACTTGTTTGATGATTTGTTGATGTTAGCTATTCTGACAGGTATGAGGTGATACCTCATTGTGCTTTTAATTTGCATTTCTTTGATGCCTAGAGATGTTGAGTATCTTTCATATGTCTATTGTACTTCTTCTGGAGAAATGTCTGTTCAGGTCCTCTGCCCATTTCTGAATCACTCGTTTAATGTTAAATTGTATGAATTTCTTATATATTTTGGATATTAACCCCTTACTGGATGTATCACTGGTAAATATCTTCTCCCATTCAGTAAATCTTTTCATTTTTCACAGATCTAGATGGCTGATAACTTCCTTGTTGTACAAAAACTTTAGTTTGATGTAGTCTCAGTTTCCTTTTTTGTTTCCCTTGCCAAAGGAGACATATCCAACAAATTATTACTAAGAGCAAAGTCAAGAGTTTACTGCCTATTTTTTCTTCTAGCAGTTTTATGGTTTTGAGCTTAAATCTTTAATTCATTTTTTTCTTCTTGTATATGATAAAAAAACAAACCAATCCTGTTTCATATTTCTGTACATATCTGTCCATTTTTGCCAACACCATTTATTGAAGAGACTATCTTAACTCCATTCTATATCCTTGCCTCCTTTGTATAGGCATGGGTTTACTTCTGGCCTTTCTATCCTATTCCATTGATTTGTGTGAGTTTTTATGCCAGTACCATGCTGTTTTCACTACTGTAGCCTTGCTATCAGGTAGTGTGACACCTCCAACTTTGGTCTTTCGCAGGCTTGCTTTGGCTATCTGAGGTCTTTTGTGGTTCCATATACATTTTAGAATTCTTTTGTTTTCATTATTTGAAAAATGTCGTTGGTATTTTGATGGGGATTGCACTAAATTTATATACTGCTTTGGGTAGTATGGACATTATAATGATGTTAATTATTCCTATTTGTGAGCATGGTACATGCTTCCATTTATTTGTATGCCCTTCAATTTCTTTCTTCAATATCTTACAGTTTTCCAGGTCTTTCAGCTCCTTGGCAAAATTTATTTTAGGTATTTTTTTTTTTTGATGCAGTTGTAAATAGGAGAAAAAGGGAAAACAACGTGGGAGAGGAACACTTGAATGGTTGCCTCTGGTATGTGCACTGACCAGGGACCACCAAACTGGTGACTTTTTGCTTTGCAGGACATCACCCAAAACTGAGCCACACTGGTCAGGGCTTAGTTTCTTTTTCTGATAGTTTGTTATTGGTGTATAAAAACAAAACCGATTTCTGAATATTAATTTTGTGTTTTGCTACTTTACTGAATTCATTTATTCATTTACGTAGTTATTTTATTGTTATTATTTTTGGTGGCTTCCTTAGTTCTCTCTATGTATCATGTATTCAGCAAAAAATGAGTTTTACTTCTTCCTTTCCAATTTGGATGCCTTTTCTTTTTCTTGTCTGTTTACTGTGGCTAGAACTTACAATACCAAGTCGGATGGAAGTGGTAAAAATGGACAACCTTTGTCTTGTTCCTGATCTTAAGGAAAACATTTTAGTTTTTCACCACAGAGTATGATGTTAGCTGACAGGCTTGTCATATATGGCCTTCATTACGTTGAGGTCTGTTCCTTCTATTTCCACTCTAACATTTTTTAAAATCATAAATAGTTGCTGGATGTTGTCAAATGCTCTTTTTGGTACCTATTGTTATGATCGTATGTTTTTCATCCCTCATTTTGTTTATGTGGTAAATCATGTTACTACTTTTATGGATATTGAACCAACATAGCAGTCTGAGAGTAAATCCCACTTGATCACGGTGTAAAATCTTTTTAATTTATTGCTGAATTCAGTTTCCTAATATTTTGTTGAGGATTTCTGCATCTATGTTCACCAGGGATATTGACCTATAATTTTCTTTCTTTTGTAGTGTTTTGTCTGATTTCGGTACAAGGACAAGGCTGGCCTCATGACATAAGTTTGGGAGTCCGTCCTCTTCCATTTTTTGAAATAGTT